CAAAAATATTGGTGAAGCCTGTATCAAGTTATTGGTGGATTTATAGCTAATTTGAATAATAGAAGGAGCCCAAATAGCAACTATATGCTTTTAATCCATCTCTGTAATATATAAGGATGACCAGGTGCATTACTGTGCTTTTGCTATGCTCTGTAAATCATGTTATCCAAACATAATGTATTACAAAAACACCTCTGTGAATCACATGCTTTTTTCAATTCAATTCAATTTGATATGTTTATAGCTAATACATATAATATATAACACATTTACACAAGTGTGAGCATTTTACATTTCCAAATTGGAGAGGGTGTAGAGGAGGCTGAAGTGCAATATAAACAATGGACATAAACTTCACATTCCTAAACACAGTAAGCGCAGAAATATGTACACATTGCAAGTCATTAGTTCAAGGCCACCAAACATTTCCTGAAACAATTACCTTCACTGCTATAAAATTCACTTTGCACAATCCTCTGGAGCGTTACTAATTGCTTTTCTTAACCCCCAGAGATTAAAGGATTTTGAAATGAACATATAGACAAGTGGCAACTCTAATTTCAAATTTAAGCTTTATAAAGGCAAACTCTGTTATATGAAACAGTGTAATTAAGAGACTATTTAATGACAGCAATATCCAGTCCTGATCCCCTCATCTTCCTCCTATCTTGAGAAATCACACTCTGCTTTTATTTTTTTAAAGTATGATGCAAGCTCAATTCATTTTCATCTGGCATCAGCTCTATGTCTCATCTTCAAGAGTGCATATAACCATGTTGGCACATGTTTCTCAAATCCTTTTCCACTAGAGGGTATGATAGACTGTGACTGTATTTCACAGTAAACCTTCTGTATGATATTGTAGTACTAAAGTACACACACATGAGGGAGAAGAACGGGCACACAAAGCTTGGTACATAATTTATGGAGATTTAAATCCTGTCATTCATAAATATAACTAAAGGCTTGAAAGTGATATGGACTTTGCCATACTGATCATGGTCCAGCTCTGTTGCCATACTGATCATGGTCCAGCTCTGTTTATTCATCCATTAATCATCCATTTGTTGACAGACAAAATAAAAATGTTGTTAATCTGTAAAACTGTTAATGAAAAGAAATACTTCTGTTTTACTTCAAGAATATTTATTTGTTTGCGTGTTCTGCGCTCCCCCACCTTCAGATGGGAAATAAAAACCCAAGGGAAGGGGATGTTATTAAATCAGCAATCAACCTTCAAGTCGTTTTAGTATAAACACTGTAATTATTTCATCTCTAGTAAACAGAATATAAGACAACAGCACTTAAGTGTTACTATTTCCAATATTTGAATATCTGTTAAAAAAAAACTGATGTGGCTGAAGGCGACATTACTGAAATATATTTTAAAAAGCACAAGTTGTGACAACCAACAGTAATTAGTCAGTAAATTCCTAGTAATAAATTTAGCAGGTCATTGCAGCAGACCTTATGTTTTGCATGGACAGAAGACACCAGAGTTGCTTACCTTTATTCAAAAATACATCAGAATATACTATTCTGAAAAAAAAAAAATAGCATATGTGATTATGGTATAGTTCAGATACCTTCCAAAACTCACAAGGTGGATTTCAGTTCAGTTATGTTAGAATAGTCAACTGCACATTTACATGGGTATAACCATAGCAGCATAGCATGCACCTTGTTGGGAAAAAACATTATTAAACAAAAATCTTATCTAAAACATTGCTTTCATAGATGAAAGATGCTACCACCTACCACTTCTAATCTCTTGGCTAAGAAAAAAAGAACACTGCGTTGTGTGTGTTAGACTTTGTTTATATTTCTGGTGTCTCTTTCTCTGGTATCTTTCTTGGGCATGGCTGGCTGGGCTCTGGCATGACGTTGCCTGCTGCCGAGCAGAGTTGTGTTGGCCTTGATTTGTGGCAGTGGTATGTTTGCAATTCGTCCGGTCATAAACATTAGTGTGCACTTCAGCAAGCCCTGGTATTTCAATAATTGCCATTAATATTAGGTAGATTGCAGAGGCTTTGACAGCTGCATGAGAAAGCGGCCTTGCTTATCTAAAGAAAAGTTTCTGGCTAGGAAGCACCATGGATGTATTTTATACATCTTTGTACCCCATCTCAAGATAGTCACCGTCTTGTCAAAAGAGTCTTTTTGAAAATATTTTGCAGTCAAATAATTACTGGCTTTGTTTAAATGGTCTCGTCCAACATATAAATGAACAATGAGGAATTCCCCAAAGGGAATCTATTGTTATTGAAATGTTTATTTATTGAGTGCGTTTACCAGAAGCCCCCCATGAGAAAAATCTCATTTTATGAGCTTCTTGAGCAGTCAGTTCCCAAATATCTAGCAGAAAAGCAATTTTGGCCAAACAATCTCAGGGTCTTTTGTTTGCTTTTAAATAATTGACAGAATACCAATGTGCAAAAAGTTGTGACAGGAGCTGCTTTATTTTCTTTATTTTGCAAATGTTCCTAATGAAATTGGGCTTATGTTGTGCTCGACTATTTCCTTATATTCGATCAGTTGATTATTACAGTGGAGAAAAAATAGTATCCCATCTAACAGTGCAAGAACAGACATTTGAAATGATTCTTAGATTTCTTCTTTCTTGCAGAAAGTATGGGTATTAATATAATCCCTGCCCCATATGGAATTTTTATCCCACCCTATATCTCATCCTATCCTTCCCTCTATTTCTCTACATCCTCTTAGCTATGAAGAGCACATACATTGTGGCACACACACACATACATGTGGCAGCACATATATTGGCATTCATATTTTTTTCATATTCAGCAACTCATTTGCTCTGAGTCCTGAGTACACTGGGCTTATTCAGGTGGGGTCAAATTCTTTGTCTTTGCTGATAAAGCCAAAGTGTATCTACACCATGTTTGAAAGGTGACATGAATTCCAGGTTCTTCACAATAATGGAATACGTAGATTTGGGAGAAATACCTGAAGTTCTTTGTTTACACGGTCCTTGGTGTGGGACAGATGTGTACTAGGTCGTTTTTATTTGCTTTTGTTTGAAGCAGACCACTAATTATACTGTGTCTGAGCAGCCAGAGAGGAATCGTCATTTCTCTTAGGTTGGGAATGCAGGAAGAACAGTGCAAGATTGGTTATATTCAGTGCATGATAATATCCAACTTCCAGGTGGCTGTTATGGTTGATTATCTCTATGTTAGTGACAGAACTGGGGAATGGCCTGAATTTCTGTAACACATTTTATGTATCTTAAGTAATGCAATTGTAGAGTATTATAACCAAACATAGTACTTAAATGATGTTCATAAATGCTTTATAAGTGCCTAACATTATTAAAATGCATTTCTTGAACATTAATGACTTGACATCTGGAGTATCCTTTAGCAATAAAATCTGTATTTTAGTTTTCTCCAACACAGAAGAGTATTTAAAGAAAAATGGTTGATTAATGGCAGTTCCTAATGGAATAAAATACACACAGTGCATGCTTTACAAGTAAAAGATTGAAAGGAGGCTCCTTAATCTTACTCTGATTCCCTTTGTGACCTCAAAACAAAGTCTTAATGTCAACAGTAATGTCAACTTCTACTTAAAATGGAAAAAGTTTAAAGGTATTTCTGTCTAGGATACATGTGATGTAATTAAGTGCTCGCACTTCATTAACTGCTCTTCATTGTATGAATGGAAAATACAAATGCGAAGTATTAGTAAAAGAATAATTTAATACTTCATTTCAAGCCCTGCAGCAAAATTATTTTTCAACTTCTTTTATGTAGCAATTTTTCAGATTTCATTCTCTCATGAGTCATGGCTATATTAGGTCAAAGCACGTTACCTGTATGGTTCTTATCAGTTTACCACAGCTGAAGCAGGTGTTATCCATAATATAATTCTAATGCTTCTCGCTGTTTGTGTGAATAATAAAAAATTAGGCACTCACATAACACATATGTGAGAAAACTGTTATCACTTGCCAGTTTTCATGTTTGTTCAGCCCTTGCACTCTCTGCTCCTATATAAATGTATATTACAGTTACTACTGTAGCTTGCAATCTGAAAAAAATTCCTTAAAAATACTTTTACCATGGTCGGGTGTGTTTTCTTATTTTTTTGTTTTTGTTTTTGTTTTGTTTTGTTTTGTATATTTATGCATTTTAGAATAATATTAGAATGGAAATATCTTTATTCCTTCGTAAGATGTGCATGTAAGTTGGATATTATTGAGATAAAAGGAGAACGAATGCAGTATTACATCTATAGATTTGTTTTCCTTGAAAAATACAAAATGATTTTTTCTTTGAAACCTTGAATACCTTTCTCTTCATTTAGCTAACTAGTACCTTGCTCTGCAAATGCGCAATAGATTCTAAAACCATAAAGATCCATCAGGATACACCCAAAATGGTCACCACAGTTTCATCATTTCATAAGTTATTCAGATAGATGGTAACCTCTGTTGTTAAAAGATAGTAATTAGTGCCATCTTTCTTGTCAAAGTCAGCCACTGGATCAGCTGACTTTGTCCAAAATCTTTTCCCCAAGTATGTTCTTACAGAACATGTTTAACGTATATATTCTGAGTTTTTTCAATCATTCCTCTGATTTAGAGTCATGACAAGAGGGCTAAACTTGTGTTAATTTGGAACTTTATGTAATCTTTTAAGATGCTGAATTCCAGTGGAGTTCTGTGTTGTTTTTGGGTGAATAATAATTTCATTGCCTTCATTTTTCCATTTTTGTAATAAAAATAGTTGTTTACAGGACTATTTGAAGTTTAGTTAATATCTCTGAAATTCTTTCAGACAGACATAAGACCCATGCGTAAAAAAAGAAAAACCACAAGAGGTATAAGAATGTATGCAAATGTAGCTAATGAAGCAAAAGGAACAGGGCTAAATGGCGTCTTAATGGTTTCTCCTTAAAAACCTATTTTGAAAAAGAATATTATGCCGTGTATCTTGATTATGAGTCTTACATTTTTTAATAATCTTTTCTAGCATGCTGGGACCAGCTGTGACCTTCAGAGTGCACTCAAACCTCCAAAACATTTCAACTGCGGATGTTGCCAAAGCAGCAGGTAAGAATCCTTATCCTCCATTGCAAAACTGTGGCCTCACAGTTTAGAGGGCTGTAGGCAGAAAGACACATGGAGACTACACTTCTCCCTGGAAGGCTGGCATTAAGAAGGGAAACAATTGAGGGGTGAGGGGCTCATATGGGAAGTGTAACAACTCTGAATTAATTAAAAATGCCCCAAAACTCAATGTTTATAGGGAAAAGGGATTAAACAGAGACAAATAAGCATGGCTTAGCATGGTGAAAAACGATCAGTGTTGTCTTGATCTCAGAAAAAATGTTGGTTTTTTTTTTTTTTTTTTGAATGAGAATTTATTACCGTTGTGTTTCTGATACCTTCAGAAGAAGAAAAAAAAGGTATTGTCTTAGCCTTAACTGACAGATCAAAAGAAGATATAAATATATATATCTTTGTTGATGCAGTGTTTATGCAATTTTCCTGACCCATTAATCCTGAGTAAATACTGAATATCTGGAACTAAACTGCATCTGAATAAATACCACTGTTCTAAGGACTGCTCTTGGCTTCTAATCAACTTGGCTGTCAACTATATTATGGAGGAGTTGTTGACTGAAAGAAATCATTTATGTAAAATAACTCAATTGATAACTGATTTGTTTCCAAATTACCTAATTGATAGCTTTTAAAAATGATAAACAAACAAGTTGCAATATTGCTTACAAATAGAAACAAAAAGAAGTTCATTTAGAAAACCACTGGGAGCCCAAAACTGTCCATTAACAACCTCTACTTCCCTATGGATGAATTCAGCCAGGACTCTGTAGGATCAAGAATCTATTTTCAAAGTGTCTATAAGAGAATAACCACAAGCATCAGTACAAATTAGGGGATGATCTGCTGGAGAGGAGCTCTGCAGAGAAGGACCTGGGTGTTCTGGTGGACAAGCAGTGTGCCCTTGTGGTCAAGAAAGCCAATGGTATCCTTGGGGTGCATTAAAAAGAGCATGGCCAGCTGGTAGAGGAAGGTGATCCACCCTCTATAGTACGCCCTGGTGAGCTCACATTTAGACTACTGTGTCAAGTTCTGGGCTCTCCAGATCAAAAAGGCCGGAGATCTCCTAGAAGCCCACCAAAGGGCAACAAAGATGATAAAGGGTCTGGAGGAACTTCCGTATGAGTAACCTGGATCCGTTCAGCCTGGAGAGAAGAAGACTGAAAGGGGATCAGATAAATTTTTATAAACATCTAAAGAGAGATGGGAGGCAAATGGATTAGGCCAGGCTCTTCTTCATGGTGCCTAGCAATAGGGAGAAATTGCCTAAAACTTGAACACAGGAGTTTCCATACAAAAGAAGAACTTCTTTTCAGTAAGAGTGATGGAGCACTGGACCAGGTTGCCCCAGAGAAGTTGTGGAGTCTCCTTCCTTGGGGATATTCAAGATATATTAGAATACATTAAGATGCAGTTGTAAATGTTATAAATAGTTTATTTCGGGAAAACAGAGGAAGTATCATTAGTTTTTTCTTCCCACTGGGATCAAAGTAGTTTTTTTCACCTTCTTTACCTTAAAGATTTCTGACAAGTTAGGGGGTCATGGAGGCAAGAGGCAGTACTACAGACTCACCAGCTCATTTTAATCATTTAAATTGTATTTTACCTACTATAATATTCATATTCCATGCATTTCCTAACTTCAGTTTGTTTAGTGCATTAAAATTTTCAGGTTTTGATTGCTGCAGAAGAACATTCGTAGGAGTCTTACATCAACTCCTGTCAGTATGTCACCAAGTATAACCGTATTTTTTATAACTAAATCTGTATTTGCCTTTTAGCAAAATAATAATAATAAAAATGATAACAAAAATAAATTATATATATGTCCAGGAGTCAAACATTCTAAATTAAAAAGTATCTCCTCCTTTTCTAACTAATGAATAAAGATGCAGTAGTCTGACAGTGTGCTTGTAAATCAGATCACTTATTTTAAGCAAACTTTTTTTCACTTGCAAATCTTTAAAGCCAAAATCAAATTTAGAAGTTAGAGCAACAGCAGTATGTACTTACATAAGATTTTTTTCAGGCTTTGGCTGTAATTAGAAGTTTTAGAAGATAAATTAATAAATAAATAATTAATGAATAGAATTTAACAAAGGAAAGTAATGTGGAGTAAATCAGTGAATATTGCCAGGGGAGGCCCAGGTAAATATGTTACTCCATCTTGCTTACAGAAAATGAGTAGACGTAACTGACAGAAGAATTTCACTGTCCATCCTTAGATTGAAACTAAACAAATTTAGAAATTGAGGTACTCAGATGCCACAGTAATTATGGGAATGTAAATTATCCAGTTTTGCAGAAAGGAATCTATTTCTGCAGCTTTTGTAGTAACTTCTTATTTCATTACTATCCATAGCAACATGCTCTGTGCAGCACTTAGCTCTTACTATTTGTGTAGAATATATTTTTGTAATCAAAATGGATAAATTACATCCTTTATTTTCATTGTTTAAACACAGAGAACTATGTTAAAGTTTTCCATTCTCCCCTGTGGAGTTTCACAAATATACAGGTTAGAGAAGGCGTGGGACTCACAGAAACTTTGAAAACAGATGGATGATGTAGAATATCTACTGAAATTCAAAGATAGGAAGTTATAGTGATAAAAGTGGTTTACTGTATTTTCCTGGTCTTTGAGATCCATTCTTCTTCGTATGCAGAAGACCCACACTTAGGAGAGAAAAGCTTTCCAAAGTCCATGTTCTTGCTGGTTAGATATTTTATCTGGAATCTCACAGTCCCTATTCTTCGTAAATGTTTTTACTGTTTTGCACTTTTTAGAGCTACACAATTCTATGGGAAATCTAAAAGGAGAATAATTTAAACTTCTGTATATCTTACTCTCGCAGGCTATGCAAAATACAATTAACAATACCTTCGTTTTTTCACTACAGAGCTGAACTGCCAATGTGCTGCCAGTTTTGCACAGTTTGATGCTCATAATATAGAACAAATCTTGCATAGTGTAACTGTCCTATGACCTCTTTCTGGTTAATAAGCCAGACTCAATGGTGCATCGCAACATTTTGATGAAATAAACTTTCTCTAGACATAGAAGACCTGTTCTAGGAGTAATTGCATTTGGCACATGACATCATTTAGACAAATGAGTATGGATTTCATTTCTCTTCAGTTTAAAGGTTAGAAGAAATCTCGTAAAGAATAACTAGCAGGAAGATAATTCTATTTATGTAAAATTGCCATATAGTCACTACAGTAATGAGCAGTGAATTCAAATGTGTACAGTTTAATAGGTAACCTGAATAACAGAGATAAATGCAAAGACGTTTAAAGTAACAGTGATAATTAGAAAAGAGGAAACTTCTGAAGTTTCCAAATACAGAATTTTAGCATAGGATGACTATGAAAAAGTGAAAAAGGGATGGAGGACAGAAAAACCCTGCACAGTCATTTTCTTATGTGTGACTGTAGCCTTTGTCAAGTAAGAATCATGCTTCTGCTTTGTTTGGTGTTGCATGAAGAGGCAACATCTGAGATGTTAAAAAAATTGTTGAAGAGCAAAGTGATGTATGCATAGCATTGGCATATTTGGGAGGGGGAACTGTAAGTACAGTGAAAGGCAATGTATAAGCAGATATTGAGGAATTAGCAGGTCTGGTGTACAGATTTTTGGATCTAAGATACTTTGTGATATGCACTGTTAAAACAAGTCACAAATTTTCACTTTTTTATAAAAAAGAGGGATTATGAAAATAGAATATCTAGAATTCATTTATTGGGCTGTTGATTTATGTTTCTTTAGATTGCTGTTGTCTTAAAGGTAAAACCAGGATTTTCAAAAATTGCATGACTTGAGAGCAACCATTGATCTTGACTTAAGGAGTGAGTTGCTGAATGATACAACCTTCTTGTCTAAAAAGTATTTATCTGCCACCTTTCTAATTCTGCAGAAAATTGGAGCATTAATACGCAGGGATGGTGAGAGCAAAAACACTGTATCATTTTTACTATATAACAAGTGAATTTGAATAAAGATCCTGTCTGCAAAGTATTAGAATGAATAATTGCATGTAGATAGAAGTCCTTAACATTTTAAACGCCTGCAGACGACTGCATTTATAAAAAACTATGGATTTTGAGATTCAGCATCTACAAATTTTGGTCATTGTCTCAACTGTTGAGAAACATCCCTGGCAACAAATATTGTAAAGAATTTTTGATATTGAAGATCATTATTTTTGCTAATATTATCAGCTCTAAACAACCAAAATAGGATCGTTAGCTTTTAGCATTAAACAATACTTTTGATGTGAAAACAGTATTTCAAAGCTCTTAGAGTTAACTTACCTTGTCTAGTGATTTAAGCTAATGCCGTCTCATTGATTTAGCGTGATCCAAAATGTCATAGTTTTAATCTTAATCAGGATGACTAAATGACCTGTCATGTTAGTGACCCTGGACTTGATTGTTGAAGGTACTTATGCCTCATTCTACTCCAATTTGTATCAATTTGTATAATTTCCTTATAAATTCAGTCATACAAAGATTTATTACAAATATATTTTTAAAGAATTAACTGTGGAAGTACAAATGATTGGTTTGTACCGAAGATGCACTCATTTTTAGCTGTTTGCAGCAGTTGGTAGTTTTAGCCTTTAGCATAATTGAAACATACATTTCAACTTTCTAGCAAATTTGATGTAAGTCTAAAATATTACAAATTATTTTATATGAATATTCTCTTGTTTTCATTCTAGTCATGAAATATAGTTCTCTTTGTATTGGCTGGGGGAAGTGGTATTTTACAGCATAATATAATAAATTTCACAGTCTGAAATTTAGCAAAGTAGAGAAGATAATTTACCTATCATCACAGAATCAATTGATTAGGTTCTGGTATGCTACTTAAATTGATTGTCTTTTAATCCCAGAAATGCTCCTGGGAGTCAGTTTTTTCTCTAGCCAATAAGTACTGACCATACCAGCATTGCTGATAAAAACACAATAGCTTTATATTATTG